TACAACTGCAAATATTAATGCATTTTACTCTGATGATACTGGTAAAAAGGATACTATACTTTAAGTACTAAATGCTCGTTTCAGCCGAATACTCGCTCAACCCCAGTAAAGCCCTATTTACTTACTTATTTTATATATTTTACACAAGCTACCATGAGAGTGATACTGCTGCTACTCACGTCTTTGTTTTCGAGGATCTCCTGTTTGGCCTCATGCTCCATTTCTGGAGGCTCCACCAAGTCATCAGGGTTGACGCCCAAGTCCCGGCCATGCATCGGGAGAGGGTCCAGACTCTGCACCGACGAAAAGGACAATGCTTTAAAATGACACCATCTGAACAATCTAATGCAAACAGCCCCGTAATAAATCGGGTTTAGTCGTTGATAATGTGTCAGCAGAGGTGAGTCGACCTCTGGGTTCCTTTCCGCTTGTGTGTTTGGCTCTTGCTCTGAATTATATTATAAAGAGAGGGAAGGTGAGGTGACAAAATAAGACCAACACTTAATACACTGAACACAGTCGATACAATGACATAACAAAAAAGTATGTATGGCACCTTTAAAGGGCACCTAAAGTCAATGGGTGTGGCTTTATGAGTGTGACAGTCACTGCACATGGTGAGGGTTGGCTTCATTCAGTCAGTGAAGTGTGTGTATAGGTTAATATTGATATTAGGATAGGAGACTATACATTTACTGGAAGGTTTTGGTTATTATAAGATAGTATAAAAGGTAACTGTCTCAACTCTACTCTTTCTCCAAGTATTACAAGAAGGTGAAATCATCTTGTGAATTTCTTACATTGTTTTTGGCTAACAAAATAGCCTCTCGTTATATTCTTCTCCTGTAAATACACTTTGAAAGCATCAATGGTGCACCAAATACCACCACTATGAGTATAACGGTGTATTTTGTCAAAGATATGCTGATATCTGAATTTGAAAATGCCGCCCAGCCTATATTGGCAGCATTACGGGTTTTAAATTAGCTGAAGGCAACGTTACATGGTTTTACCTCCCACTGCTCTCCTGTACACACTCAAGTTCGGCCGTCAGTTTTCTTTATTGTTCGTCTTTCTCTCACTGTGTGTAACAGTACATCGAGTACTGAGTCTGCAGCCACTGACTGACAGTGGCAGGGAGGTCATGGTCAAATATCCGCAGAAAGGCAAGCCGTCGGGGAGAAATTGAGTTTACCTTAGCATGGACAGTCCCCATGGTAGCTATCCGCTCCCAAAAGCCTCTTCAGTCGGGGATAGCTGCTCTGTACGCAGGACAAAACGGATAAATGACTGCGGCTACTTTCTCCAGCACCAGTCCCCCTTGAAGGGAGACGCCATGACAGTTAGTGAGGTCCCGTGCTGTGTTCAAGTACTCCTTGTAATGCACGTCGACTTCGCTTAGTCTTTAATTTTCCATCTCGTTGTTCTTAGTGTAAACGCTCCTACGTAGAATTCAGCTAGAAATTGTGAATAATGTATTGAACTCATGTTTATTTTATCTTAAAATCTCAGCTATACATAGCAGAAACAATGTCGCAAAATGAATAGGCGGTAGCAGGGCCACTACGCAGGTGTATTTATGTATCAGTAACGTTAGTTCACTCACTACTGTTGTTGTACAGTAATGCTAAAATGTAGGCTGCTAGCATCCTGTTGCTCTTGAGAAGAAGCTCCGCTGCCATGATGCTACGGCTAAGAACAAAGCCACAGTTTCACGCAGCTACATTACTGCAATATATGTGTTAAATGTTACAATGAGCGCCGCCTGGCAGCGAAAAGAAGAGCTAACGTTACTGACTGAGATAAGACTGTCAAAGCTAGCAAACGTCTTGCTCTTAAACGCATCACCCTGTCTTCTGTCTCTGATTGGATAGAAATACCTTGAAGTGGGCGGGGCGGGACTGAAATCACGTTGAAGGAGCTTCTCCAGCAGATGGCGGTGTTTTTCTTCTTTTAGCTAACTTCTCTTCCATAACTTCAACTGAAACAGGACAGGAATTGGCAATATCTGGACAAAAAGCTGGTAAGTAGCATTCCAGTTAGGACTGTGGACGTGTTGGTTTGCGTCAGCCCTGTCTGTAAGTGTGCTTGATTGCTGTACCCTCTAACACATTCAAAATGCCATTATAAAGTTGTCTGACAAAATAAAGTTGTGGCCCTGTGACTATCAGATATAATAGTCTAACATCTATAAAACCCCTAGAACACACCTAATCTGTAATCCTTGAACTTCCAGGGCTCCTTGGTTTGGCTCAGGAGGGATACCAGTGTTATATATTGCTGTTATTTAACTGTAAACTCATTTAGAGAGACTTAAAACTTTTTTATATATTTATTTTGAGTTTTTTTTATTTGACCCTTGACACAGCCTGCTAGAGATATGTGGCCCCCACTGAGCGTGCCTCACACACACATGCCCCCAACCAATCTGAGCCCTAAAGCAAACAGTATTCCTACAATGCAGTACTACCCAGCCTGAGGTTTGTGTGCCTGGGGGAGGGCAAATTGTTGCAAATACAAAATATAAAAAATAAAAAAAAAAACCCAAAAAAAACTATGCACATTAGCTACATTTTGACACGGGGCCCCTCTACAAGACACAGGCTTCAAGATCAGGTAAAAATGCAGGAGCCGCCTTACCTTACCTTTCAGGTTTAATTTCCATTTAATTCCATTCTTCAACCTTGATGTCAGACCACTAGGTGTCAGTATTTCTTAATCCTTAAAACCTCCTTGTGCCTCCTTAAACCTCCTGTATTATAACCTTAATATTGCTGAGCCTGTCCTATTTAAATTGTCCCTACACAGTACTAATGCCTAAGTGGTTCCTGTGGTTTCTGGATCTTTGGGGGCCTCTAGTGGGGCACGGTTAGGCCAACAATAGGGTTTAGATTTATTTTTAATGTTATAAGTTTAAATAGCGACAGTATGTATGAGGATCTTAATGGACCAGTGTGTAGGTGTAGTATCTAGAGGTGTAGTTGCAAATTACAAACCCCTCGCCTCATCCTCCCGTGGCAGTGTGTAGGATAAACTACAGTGGAAACTTTGTGAAATACACGAAAGGTCCTATCTAGAGCCAGTGTTTGGTTTGTACATTCTGGGTTACTGTAGAAACATGCTGGTTTAACATGGCGGACTCCGCCAGAAGAGGACCCGCTCTCTGTAGATAAAAACAGCTCATTTCAAGGTAAACAAAACACAACGAATTCTATTTTGAGGTGATTGGTTACACTATGGAAACTATACCTATGATATTATATTTCTGACAATAGATCCTCCTCAATGTTACACATTGAAGGGGTCCTTTAAATCAGTGATTCCCAGCTTCTATGGCTTGTGACACTTTAAACTGTGTGCAGTTTAACCAAAGTGGGATTTTTCTTTCTCAGTTTAAATTTAAACATTTTAAGAATCCTGAAATATGGAACATTTAACAAGAAAACAAAGCAAAAGTTAGAGAAAATAATAATCTGGATTTATTTTTGGACATTTGGTTAGTCCAGACCACCGTTTGGGGACCATGTGCTATAGGCCTAAATCGCATTTGGGGCTCCTTCTAATGGAAAGTAAAGTTTTTATCTATGAAATCATTTATTTGTTTTATTTTAATCTGGGGATCCCTGAGTGTCTCCATCATGACTCTGCTCCTCATCGCTCATTAAATACACAGTCTCTCTCTCTCTCTCTCCCCCTCCACCCCCCAAACTCCTCTGTGAGAGACTGAAAACACCGGCTCGCCAGTGGGGGGGGGGGATAAACTTACATATTTTCCCCCGCAGACTCTGTAAAACCCGAACCCTCGCGTCGTCCTCTTCCGCCATGGTCAGAGCTGACTGTCGTCGCGGCCCCGGTGCGTTCAATGCTCGGTTATCATATCCGTTTATGAATGCAGGCACAGTGGAGGAAAGCCAGGCCCACTGCCGCGTCACGTCAGGTCCCGTACACACTGGTGCCCTAAAACGTTTGGAGACACATCAAGCTTCCTCAAAAGTCGAGCGCCTTTTGCTTCGGGCTTACACTTCAATCTGGATCTGGTAGGAGGTTTTTTAAGAGGATTTAAGGTCTCCCTCCCTCCCTCCGTCCCTCCGTCCCTCCCTCCCTCTCGGTGTGCTGTTTGCTTATTACGCAACGGCAGCGTTAGCGGAGATCGGATACTTTCACTTGTGGAAGCTGCCGTAGCTATAGACACATAAAGAGTAGCTAAGCGTTGCCTGTGCGTTAAAGTTAACCCTTTCTGTGAAGCAGCACGTTACATGACATGCGTGTGTGAGGCAGATTTAAATCCGCTCCTGCGGTGTGAGTGAGTTATCTTTGGCTCTAAACACGCGTTTTCTGAAGCACACTTTGATGTAGGACCTGTGCAATCTGTTTTCGCTTTGAAACATCCTGTAAAAACAAATCTCGCAAGGCTTGAAAACATTAAAGGAGACATATTATGCTCATTTTCAGGTTCATAATTTTATTTTGTCGGTCTACTAGAATGTGTTTTGTGTTTTTAATGTTAAAAAAACACATTATTTTTGTGTCTGAAACGCTCCGTTTTAGCTCCTGTCTCTTTAAGGCCCCCCTCCCGAAAAGCCCAGTCTGCTCTGATTGGTCAGCATTATGACGCGGATGACGCTCCGGCGTTGCCGGTGTTTTAGCAGACAGACAGATCCTCACTGTTAATGAGTTAAGCTGCAATATTAATTCAATAACTGCTTCTAAACCAAAAACTTCACCACCGGACATGTTAGAGCGGGAGTCTGACCTGAAATCACAGAGAAATTACTTTCTGTGACGTGTTCCTCAGGTAAATACTGCTATATATATATTAATCTCTCTCTATCACATAATGTTAGTGTTTATACCTTAACTATGAGAACCAACACTGTGTTTTATGCTTGTCTT